AACAAACAAAAATAAAATACCTAAGAATATAATCACACAAACCATATGTGTGTATATATGTATGCAAGAGCCAGAAAAAGTTAGGAAAAGCAAAGCTCCCTCATCCACATTTCCATTCATAGATCTGTTTATGTACAGGCAAAGACTATAATCACCCTCTGAAATTTATAAGTAGATAAAACATTTGCAAACATTTTTAAAAGGTTCTGTACATAGCAATTCAGATAGTTATTTGCCAAACAATTGAATCCCATGGTATGTATGAGAGAAAAGGTGGATATTTATTTATTTATTTCAATAATTGTCTACATCAGATTTTGTGTTTCTACATCACTATGTTTCTGAGAGAAAAACATCTAAGGGTTGGAAATCGTAAGAAATTCACAATACACACATCACAGTGTATTCAGTGTACATAGCAAGTCCCAGAGTGTGACTCACTGTTCCTCTTCTTATTTACAATGCTAATTATTGTTCAATATTTTCAAATAATGTGTGTCTTGTATTTTTAATAAAATGGATTTTCATTTCATTAATGTTTGCTTCCCCCCTCCCATCTCAGAGTAATGTAATGCTTATTCTAATTCTCCAGGAAATAGAATTTCAGTTATTTCAGAGAGTTTGATTTCGTTGGAATGACGTGGCAGAAGAAGAGTATAATAATTGCATTTGTGAACAAGTAAACTAATTGTAAACATAAGATTCAACACCATTAATATTTCAAAGGAAACCTGTAAGAAATTTAATCTCCTCAAACAAACCAGGATTCCCAGTGCTCTTAGGCAACTCAGAATAAGCTTTTTGATATTGTACATTTTTGAATTCGTGTTTAAGGACTGATCCTACATTATTAAATGTTTACAGACGTTAAGATTATTTATGACTTGAGTCTGGCTTATTTGAAACTGTACAAAATAATGATTTTCCTTTTGATCACTGAAGTTTTGTGGACCCTATGGGTGGTTTGTTTTCTTCTTGATGGAAAGGTATGTTTTGCCTCACTTCCTAGGCTGAAACTGACCAATATTCTCTTCAACACTAGAGATTCATTATTTTATACCTGCAGTTTATTTTTTCCTGCATTGTTTGTAATTTTTCTTTCTTGATCCTCTTCCCATTCTGACTTCCAAATCTAAATGAAGTTATGATCATAGTTATTGAGGAAAATTCTTGTTTGCATTTCCATTGGGAGGGCGAAGAAATTCTCTTGGTCTGAACTTTTCTCCTCCAAAACATGATGACCCAAATGCCCCAAAGGGGAATTTCATAGTCAATTGTCCTCTGTTAAGATCATGGTAACTATTTTTATGGGTGGGCATAATTGTAGATATCCAAATTACAATTCTTTCTTAATAGGCACAACAAAAACATAGTACATTTATTTGCTATAGTTATAGTTATTTTAGTCATTTGTTCTGTTTGCACCTATTATACAAGTTCAAATGATCCTTTCTTCAGACCTGCACATTTGTTCTAGTTAGTAGGAGATGGAACCTGAAATTGCTGAATAAGTATAAAAACCAGGGAAAACAAGAAATTATTCAAAAATAATAATGGAGTTAGGAAGGTCTTGAGGAGTCATAAGGGGTCAAGGCTAGGCAAAAAGCTTATTTGTTGAAAAGCTTGGGTATGGGGGAGGGAGTAATAAATCTACCCATCTGTTTAAAACATTTGAAATATATGTGGACAATTCAAAGCCATATTGCCTTAACAGAATGAAAGCTGAGTTTTCTAATAATTGTAAAGGAAATGTAACCTGTGTCACTGTTATATGCTGTGTATTCATTACAGAATGAGATACATGCTGAAAGTTTTAATTTAATTCCAATCTGAAAAATTCTTACTAATTTCATTAAACTATGTGCCCTTCAAAATACACTCGACTATCTCTGTTGACCTTAACAGCAGCAAGAACTCTATATTTTTATTGAAAAATATTTAGGATTTTGTTTTTTTGAAGAGTGACTTATTCTTTCATATTCATATTCTAAATTGTGGGAATATACCTGGTGTCTAGAATAATTTCACAAATCCAATATAGTATTTAATACAAATTGGAAAACATTCTTGGGCTATTCTCTTATTCATGGTATTGTACCACACTGAAAAATTTTAGAGTTCAAATCTTTAATGTATAATTTAAACTATTGCTATCAATAGATTTTTTGAATGGTTTGAGGTTTTAGTTTTAGTTTCAAACAGGGACAATGAATTTAATTTAATGGATATGAAATATATGAGCTTCTAGTGATACAGCAAAATATATGACAATTCATATTTGTTGCTTATCAAATGTATTTCTCTACATATACCTGTTTGTTATATTTGTGCCATCTATTTCTTATATTCTTTCAAAATCATGTAACAATAAAATTTGGGGGCTTGAGCTTCTGTGCAATAATTCTGGTGCCTTTCATTTTTTAAAAATAAATTATATTTTATTCAAACATACTGAAAATTCATTTTCCATGAGATTTTTAGACATGAACTTCTTTTTTTCCTTTTTAAGACACTATTCATTAACATAAGTATGATCTATATTTGCCACACGTCACTGCACAGTCAGCCACAAACCTCTGGTAGGAAATTGTAAAATGGTTTAGAATAACTCTTCTAAATGTGGAATCCTAAATGATATTTGGCCAGATCTTTTAAAAAATCAGCTTGACAGCAATATCAAGATGCTAGAAGATGCTGAAAGGTCTTTAGCATATTGAGGCTATAAATTTTAGGTCATTTCCCAGGAAAATCTGCAGTAGGCATTGACCACACTTTGCACCGTTTTTCTTGCTGATATCTCCCTTGCTTTTGACTCCTTTGAACATCAGCTCAGTATTATGAACAGAAACAGATTCTATGTCTCATTTAAAAAGCATCATCGCTTATGCATTTTAAAATCAAAAGAGTGGAAGGACAGGTGCTAATGAGAAAGAAGGATCAAAGGAAAAGGTGTTGATTCTCTCGGCTTGTGCTTCTTTGCTTTCTCTTTAATATTAGGCTTTTATACCAGCCAACTGCATGAGGATGATGGAGGAGACTGCACTCTCAGCTGTCCCACTGGTTGGCTCTACTGGCCAATTGTAGGCAAAAATGAGGCATTGTCAAGTGCCATAGGAGCGTAAAACTATATATGGCAATGAGATTGGTGCCCTGTATCACCTACACATTCAAACATACTCCCCAGTATGGCTGATGAAACAACATTTTATCATGCTGCCTCAATAATTTATAAATTCAAACCATGTGTATTTTATTTGCTCTGCATTTGCTCTGATATGTAGTGAAAGCCTGCTCTTCTCAGCCCCATAAAATTTGTAGCTGAAGAAAGGTGGATATTTATAATGAACATTTTCATTCTGCTGGATTACAAAACCAGTTCTAGGTCTTCACTTCCTGCAATAATCAGTAGACACTCAGACTGGAATCCACTACTTATAACTGATTCTTCTATTTGTCACATCTATTTCTTATATTCTTTCAAAATAAATATATGTAACAATGCAATAGGGGCGTGATGGTGAACCTACAGCATGCGTGGCAGAGTTGGCACACAGAGCTCTCTCTGTGGGCCCGCGCACCATCACTAGCTGCTCTTCTGGGTTACCTGATGCACATGTGCACGGGCCAGTTGCTCTCTTCCAGGTTCTGGTGCTCCGGCATGCGCATGCATGGTCCACTTTCAGCACTTAGTTAACCATCACTGCAATAAGGAGCGGGGAGCTTTGGTGCAATACTCTTGGTTAAGTTCATTTTTAAAAAAAAAACTAAAATTATATTTAATTCAGTCATGCTAACAAGTCATTTTTGCAAGAGATTTCTCAAGATGTAGGCATCCGTTTCCCCCCCTTTCCCTTTTTTTTAAACACCATTCATTAATACAAATAAGGTTTAGATTTGCTACAGCCATAAATCTCTGGCAAAATCACTTCAAAAAGCGGGAATGATGATAGGCCAGTTTGTGAGTTTTTCAAAGAACAGCTTGACAGCAAACATCAAGGACAGAATATCCTGAAAGCTCTTAAGCATAATGTTGCTGGGAATTTCAGACCATTTCCCAGGAAAATCTGCAGTATTAAGCATTAACCACACTTTGCACAATACTCTTGCTGCTAAGATCTCTATTGCTTTTGACTCCTTTGTGTATCAGCTCAATATCATGAACAGAGAAACATCTAATGTCTCATCTAAAAAGCATCCTGTGGTGGGACAATGGAAATTTCAGGATAGGCAAGGATATGTCATTGTCTATGATTGCATAGTTTATGCTATGGGTGCTGTAGTAGTGTTGGAAATGTTTCATTTATTGTTATGCCACATCCATCTCAGATTCTGCTATACAATGGGATTAAAAAGATCTGAACAGCATGGATATGATAGTCTCTCATGTTCTTCTTGCTGGATACTATAGCTCCATCCTAATGTTCTCTGAAAATTTAGGGTGGAGCTATAGTTCTCATTGATCACTGTTAGATCACCTTTTATGTCACTAGCTAAACCAACTGCATAAGGATGATGGAGGACACTGCACTCCTAACTATTCTGCTGGTAAACTATACTGTCAGAATGTAGGCAGAAGTGATGCACTGTTGGATGCCATTGGTGTACTAACAGTACACCGCAGTGAGATTAGTATGCTATAATACCTACAGATCCATACATACTCAACAGCTATAGCAGCTTCACAGGTCAAGCAATACAAGGTAGGATTTTCATGGGAAAAGCTTAGTATTGGGAATTAAAAGAATCAATGCAGTATATATTGCATTCTCAAGGATAGTCATACAATGACATCTGAACTTCTGAAATGAATTCAACCCCGAATCTTGGCAGAAGAAATCAGCACAAACTTCACCAGAATTCAGTGAAAATACTAACACTCAGTGATTTGTGGAGCCTATAATATAGTCCCTGTGAAAAATCCTGCTTTGGATATGAGACAGAGCTCACATTCACAAACCACAATTCATGGTCTGCACCTGGAGGCCATTTGGGGGGGGGGATCAGCATTTCCGCTTTATTAGTTGCTCCTTATTGTTTAGATTAGGTCTGAATAATATAATGTAACACTTGGAGCCAAAGATGGAGCCAAGTAAACCAGCACTGGAGGCCAAGATGGAGAAGATCTCCACAGCCACTGTGTATTTTCCTTTTGTGCTTAAATAGACAGGAACGAATGATACCCAAACACTACAAAACACCAACATGCTGAAGGTGATGAATTTGGCCTCATTAAAAGTGTCGGGCAGTTTCCTGGCTAAAAAGGCTACAACAAAGCTGATTGTAGCTAGAAAGCCCATGTAACCTAACACACAGTAAAACATGGTGGCTGATCCTTCATTACATTCAAGTATTATTTCTCCAAAAATGGAATGTGTATCTTGATTCGGGAAAGGTGGGGAGATTCCCAACCACAAAGCACAAAGGCCTATTTGGAATAGAGAACAATAAAACACAATGGAAATGGCCAGTCTCTTGCTCATCCATTTCCTCATTCTGGATCCTGGTTTGGTGGCCATGAAAGCAAGAACCACAGTGATGGTTTTGGCCAAGATGCAAGAAATGGTTATGGTGAAAATGGATCCAAAAGCCACTTGTCGGAGAAGACAGGTCACTTTTCTGGGTGGGCTGAGGAAAAGGAAGGTGCACAGAAAGCAGAGCAAGAGGGAGAAGAGGAGGCCGTAGGTGAGATCCCGGTTGTTGGCGTGGACAATTGGGGTGTCCTGATGCTTAATGAAGATGACCAGGACCTGGACTGTGAGCAGAGAAAACAAAACAGCAAAAATAGCTAAGCTTATCCCCAGAGGTTCTTTCAATGAGAGGTAGTTGATTGTCTTCGGAATACAATGAGATTTATTCTTGTTTGGATAATGATCTTCTGGACACATGGTACATACATCCATGTCTAGAATGAAGAGGTACAAAGCAAAATAGACTAAGCTGATTTACAATATATCTATGGATAATTCTGGAATTATCCACACAACCAGGTTTTCCAGCAGAAAATTAGGCTACTACTGCTCAGAGGTAGGAATATGCAACACCATCCAACACCTCCTTCCACCCATTGGGAAAGGACCATTGGGGAAGGACACCCACCCCCCAAAGACACCCACCCTTTCTTGCTGCATATCAAAAGCAATGACTTCTAGCAAAAGCAAGTCTAGGCTTCATTTCAAGGGACATTTTGTTTCAAACCATCTACTCTTGAGCTCTGATATGTTTTCTTTCTAGTCACTGGTTGCAATGCTGTATGGCTATTTGGTATTTGGACGAAGAGCTCTCTGGTCACTTCTGAAATGGTCTCTGCTGATGTGGATTTTTCTTTTTTTGATTTTAATTCAGCTGGTGAACCAATGAAGTGGTGAATCTTTCAGCCTCTCCCACTTCTCCTCCTGCTTCTATACCATATAGTTGTCTGCCTGTGGTGTGCTTGATTCCCCAGAGTTGAGTTGAGGGGGGAAAAATAAGACACCAAGGCCAAATAAAGATTTGCTCAGCTCAACTTCTGCATTAGTGAAAAGCTTTAATTTTATGAAGGAGGAATGTAATGACTGACATTTTTAACTAGATGAAAGATAAAATGGTAGTTCCCCTTCGTTCATTCTTTCTTTCATTCTCCTCCCCCCTCCTCCTCCTTTCCGTGCTTTCCATCAGAAGATGCAACCAACAAGAAAATGTCAAGTGCAAAAAATAATCAGTGTGTAACATATGGGTACTATACATTTAGTATAGGCTAGTTCTGCTGACTGCCAGTAGTTCAATTCTCACCGGCTCAAGGTTTATTCAGTCTTTCATCCTTCCAAGATCAGTAAAATGAGGCCCCAGATTGTTGGGGGCAAAATTCTAACTCTGTAAACCACTTAGATAAGATGTAAAGCGCTGTGAAGTGGTATATAAGTGCTATTGTTATTGCTTACTAGTCTTCCCATGAACCAAGGGACTCGTTTATCATTTGGGTTATCTGATTCTGGGCACTGAATTCAAGTGAGCTATGGAAAATTGTCTTGATTCAGCAAATATTATAAAGTGGAGGGTAGTTTATGCAAAATGTCTAACCATGGACAGCAAATGTTGTTCAAAGAACAACTATAGAAAGGAATGTAATTGATACTTTCTTTCTTGGCCAGAAGAGGTTCACAATCAGAGCAATGCAGCAATTAAAATTAGTATTCTCTGGGAAGTACATCACTTGTTATCCTGGCCAAAGAACCAGCCTATACATAAGAGGATAGCAGCTTAAGGATGCATTGCAGACAAGCCTCTGTGGTGTCTCTTACCCTTCTCAGGTGAAACTTTGCCTGGAGGACATGGACAACAATCATAGCAGCAGAATTTTTCCCCTTCCTTCTTCTTTTTGCTGGAACCAGGAAGGCAGCTTGGGTTACACACAGAAACAGGTGGTACCTGTCCATTGGAAGAAAAATATGGACGTAAATCATAAATAAATCACAAATGATATCACATTCCACACAATAAATACTCATGGTTCTAATGTTCGAATATCAAAGCTATTAGATCATCAACACTTTAATGAAACATGAAGAAATTTAGATTGAAAGAATTGTTTTCTTTCAAGACCCTAAGTAAATATCTGAGTGTGAACATAAAATTTCTTAAAACGCTTTTCCTTTAATACTGTCATTGTTCCTGAATTGTTTTAGATTGAGATACTTTCTTGGAGAAGAATGTCAGAATACAATCAGCAGCAGTACATATAGTCCTCAACAATATCATTTATTCAGTGATCATTTGAAGTTACAGACACAACATATAAATATGCTTACAAATGTTGCAACATCCTCATAGTCACCTGATCAAAATTCAGGGATTTAGCAATTGCCCCATTTAGGGGGCTAGATAGCTGGATATAAGAAATTACCCTCAAGTTACATGTTGTCTCAGATATTCACTTTTGCACTCACTTATTTACCACATACTACACTTGTTCTTTACTGCAATTCTTTGCAAAGAGTAATAAATGGCACTTCGATTCATCTTTCAGTCTTGGGTCCAATCTCCATCCACTCTGTATCTTACCTGAAAAAAGCTGTGGTGCCACACCACTTTGTTCTCATCAATGGTAACTCTCATGCCTGGGGAAGCCATCACATCAACTGTTCCAATCTTGACTCTCAGAAAGGAATTATTTGGAAAAGTGACTAAGTTGGTGATATCAAATCCAGTGTTTAACTCTTTGTGCTTCCCCAAAAACACTGTTTTTCCGGCACTGTTGTTAAACGCCACCCACTGAAGAAAAAGATGCAGCTACATTGGAAAAGACATAGAAACAAAGAAATAATTTAGTTAGTTTTTCCATCCAAAGATTGAAGGATCTTTTTCTCAAATTCATGGATTTTTACCATAACCCATAGTCACTAACAGATGATTGTACGTTCAATGCGACAATGCCAGTAACAGTTGTGATACTTGTGTTCTGGTGAAGGGACATGAAACTGTAAGCAAATCTGCTTGGTGGAAGGAAGATGGTGCACATTGCTCTCCAGAGCTTTATTTTGCAACTCTGGTAATCTCTAGGAAAAGGACTCACCTGCCAAGCATGCAGATCCTGAAACTTCAGTTTCTCTCTTTCCGTTACTGCTCTGTGTTTGGACTTGGATTGATACAAGGCATGTAAAGCATGTGCCACAACATAGACAGCATTGTAGACACTATAGCTGTGGCCAGTCATGCTCATTTCAAAGGCCAAGGAAGGAAGGTTCTCCAGTTTCTCTTGTCCACTGCAGGATTCACTGTTACGTTTCTCCATATTAGAATCTGGAAATAAACATCTGAATGTTTGTGTCCAGAAGTGCTCCAGAAAACTGTCTTCATTTGCTTGAAAAATATTTCTTTGTTGGAGAAAGGATTTGAACCCTTGAACTTCACTCGGAGGAACTGTGAAACTTACGGAGCCGTGGAAAACATGAATATCCTCCCTCATTTGATAAGATGTGGATGCAAAATCCAGCTGAGCAGTCATAATCCACACCTTGCCCATGGATGAATGAGTCATATTTTCCATTTCACCTAATCCGATTAATGTTTGTAAAGAAAACATGGAGAATATTTCTCCATAGACAACAACAGCATTGGCTTTGCTTTTGATTATAACTTGATGGATGTGAATCCACTTTTTCTGCATGTTGATATATTCCTCTATATATGTGACTTTTGGGATTCTCTCTGAGAAATCATAGCAGATGTGTCTTTGAGCAAACAGAAGCTGGAGTTTCTGCAAAAATATCTCTCCACTTTCATTATCCACTGCAAGAAATCCAACCCATTTCCATCCAAAATGAAGAAGTAATTCAACAATGCCAGTATGTTGGTGAGCTTCATTTGAAACCATTCGGTAGAAAAAAGGTGCTTGAATTTGATCATCTGGAGCGAAAGAACCATAACTGAGCTACGAGGCAAAGAGTAATGATTTCTGGCAATTATGATAGATGAAATAGGATCTTTATTTAGCACACTGTTATATTAATAGAGAAATTATAGCTAATATAGAGATGTACTAAATTGGCTAAAATCCACAAAATTTCCATCTTAATTGAAATATGAAGATATAACTGCAATAACCCACTTTCTGACATTGAACAAAGGAAATATGTAAACAGCAGGTGAAAAATCATTAAAGTTTCATTAAAGATCTCTGGAAAGCAATAGTAAAGATTAAAACATTTCTGAAGCAAGACGTTTTAGGGAAATATTGGTGATTAAAAATTGGAAAATTTATAGAAGTAGAAAGCTTTAAGATTTGACTCTGGAAGGAATACAAGAAATTCAATAAAACTAATATGTTGCTGATATTATACTTAAAATTATCTAGTGAAAATATTGAGGTATGTATCTAAACATTATTGAAATATATGTAGCAACACTGGGGTATACTTGCTGGGGTATTCCAAGGATCCAACAATTAGTCTGGAAATTAGTCTTTTGGAAGAGAATTAGAATTATCTCTTCTATCATTGTTGGATGGAGAAATAAAAATATAGAAATAAAAAATAGACCTCATCAGATTTAAAATTGGAGAAACAAAAGTATCTATCTCAGGAAATAGCATTCCAGCTTTATACATTTGGTACTCCAAATTATTAAAAATTATCCTAATGGAAAAACTTGCAATATTTAAAATGTATAACATCCCTTTGAATCCAGTGTGGAAGTATTTTATTCAGGATGATAAACATTCAGAATTTTTAAAGAGGTATTTATCTTCAACAGTGCTGTGGATATATGGGGCAGAGGTGAATGTTAATTTAAAGACAGGAGTTACAAATCAACAATGCATTGTTTATGATGGTATATTTTGGTTAAGATAAGCAGCTATAGAAATTGAATAAATAAATACATACATTTTGTATACCTTTCTTAGATATATTTGGGTAGTTTTAAGTATTTGTGTTATTACTGTGTAAATTTAAGATCTGTCTTTTAAGAAGAAGAAAAAAGTATTATTACTTTCTTATTTTAATATTTTATCCCCCCCCCCCAGTAGACTGTTGGTGGGTTATTCATCTGATTAGCCTACAGTAGATGTACATACAATAATTGCATTACACACCATTAGATATATGATTTATAACTAACTTATATCTAATTTTGCAGAAACCGGGTGGGACAAAGTTTTCTCATTTTTTTTCTTAAGTGCATTGATTCCGAGTATAATGTTGTAGATCCAACATGAATGAAAAAAGGAGTAATGTCTGTAACTGTTGCCTAAGTTCACAACAGTTCCTTTAATGATACACAATACTTGATTAAAAAGAAGAAATAAATCACCAAGCTAATTTCATACTTGGGGCATGTTGTAGATCATCAAGATTGATGACATGTGCAGGGATGTATCAAAATCTAGTCCTCCAATGACTGCCATTAGATTTTTCTGCATGTTGCATCTGTAGTTGGGTACAAATCTATCCCGAATAGAAAGAAGACCAAGAGTAGCCTGGTGGGTCATCCTTTCATTGAAGTAACTGTCACAGATTTGGAATCCCAAGGTGACATTTGGTAAAATACTGGGGTTCCCATTGATCTCCTTGACAGCAAACACCAAGGCCAGAATGTGCTGATAATTCTTTGGTACAACTCTGGAATGAGAATAGCGCATCCAAGCAGTTATCATTTCTTTATTTAAACTGGGGGTATCTGATTCTAAAATGCCTGGAGGCTGATATGATATATTCTAAGAGGGAACACTCAATATAGAGGCAGTAAATTTAAGAGAATTTACATTTTAAAATAAATGAATAAATGTCAAAAGTTGTGGTCAAACTGAATTTATTTATATTAAATAAATATAAACAGTATATACAGCATCCTTTGATAACTTGTACATGTTCATTTAGTAGTGAGACCTGTTACACACGAAGTACATCCTCTGATTTCATTATATCATCCCAGGCAATTCAATAATCACACAGTAAACGTTTTATTTATGTCTATGCCCAAGGTAGACCAGAGCACTAGAAATTGATAAATTAAAAACTGCAAGGAATTATAGTAACAGATTGCCTAGCATACTGTGACTAATAGAAAAGATTTTTGAAGTAGCAATCAGCATTAACTTCTAGTAATGAAAACAGTAATCAACCTCCCTTCATCGCAGGAAAAATAGTAGAAATTAGAAATACTGCATGTTGAATATACTTCATTTTAACAAATACATACTACAAAAATATTAGTAATTTCCTTGTTTGTTGAATTTGTGAACTGTTTACTTATACTGTTGAATTTGCAAACTGTTTATATGTAGTTAAAGTACATTTTTTTATTATTTTTAAATGACAGTATACAGAAGAGGAAGAAAATCCATGGGTTCAAAGAAAGTTTATAAACATTCAAAATGGAATTGTTGCATAACTATTTTCTTCTATCAAGATATGCTATTCATTTGCATTCTCTTTTGACTGCAGTGGGTGTAAAAAAACTAAAATTAATTGAAATATGTTTTCAATGCAAGATGTAAATTTCCATAGTTAATTATTCCATCACAATGTTTAGCCTAATAACAACAACAACAACAACAACAATGATAATAACAACAATAACAACAATAACAACAACAACAATAACAGCAATAATTGTTTTTTTAAAATCTCCCATGTGCAACTTTATATATTTATGTGGAGAGGAGCAATAATTTTAAAATGAAACAACAAATTTCAAATGGAATTATTCCATTTGGATCTAGTTCCTAGGGGGTTCCTGGAAAATATGCCAGCTTCCTAAACCTTTACAACATAAGAAATCAACAGCCAATCATTTTAGTTACACTGCAGTTATTCCTGTTTCTAGGATAGCTGGCAGTTTATTTCCTAAGAGAATTTTCATTTTGATCTAGAAGTAATTAGCATTCAAAACAATGAATTTTACATCAAATATACAGGGATGGGAATTAGTCAATTATACCAAGCAATGTTTTAAAAATATCTTACAGGAGATTAAGAATTTGAGAGATGGGTAGATACTCTGTGAAGACTTCACTATCTAGAGAAGATAGAAGATGAGAGGTCAGCCCACCAATGATTAAGTCACCTGGTTGATTATACTGGTGAGGGATGTGGAGCAGTTCATTGATGCTGCAGAAATTGACCTGTCTCACCACATGAGGCAGCACTAAGAACATCAGCACCATAAACCTTGCCATTCAGAAGACAAATAGTCTCCTACACAAGAGACATGGGCATGCTAGGTTGACTAGCCTTTTATGATGGCACTTAAATGTTGTATTGTACTAACTGAATCCTGGGATCTGAGTTACAACTGAAGAGAAGATGTAAGATCAGCCTCAGGAGGTTTCTGCTAACTTTTCTGCTCTTTTTGCTGTTGGAAGCTACATGGAGGATTAATAGTCAATGGAGGCCTTATTGAAAGATTATAGAGAAGATAATAATAGGGCTCTTCAACAGCAGATGTCTTGGGGGGTGGAAAGAAAATATGTTTACCACCTTTTTCCTCAAATGAGTTTCTTAACTTTTTTGAGAAAGCAAAAAGAATAATGCAATGAGACAATGTTGAATGCTGGACTGAAAGAGCAAGAATAGGTCATATGATAGCAACGTAAGAAATATAAGCCAAATGAAGTGATTCCAGATATGTTAGATTGCAAATTTTATCATTCCTTTCCAACAAAGGGAAGAACACTGACCTAAGGTTTCTTTTTGTTTCCTTTTCTCCACCGAACCTCTCAGTTGACCAAGGCCACATTCACAGAGCTGCTTTGCTGGGCTACTTTCCTATGTAGAATGCTCACTCCCCCCACCTCAATTATTATGTCCTGAATTTTGGTACATATTGTGACTTATGAATGAATTGGTTATTGATTTTGAATAGTCTATATAGATATATGTACACATGCACACATACATCAGTGGTGGGTTTCCAAATTTTTTGGAACCTCTTCTGTAGGTGTGGCCTGCTTTGTGGGAGTGGCTTGCTGGCCATGTGACCAGGTGGGAGTGGCTTGGCAGTCATGTGACTGG